ACAAGTGTTTCCAGATGAATTTCATCTACAAACTCTTGATCCATTTCTTAAATCATGTGCGCAACTTGAAGCCGGTGTCAATGCGAAAAACATTATTATTTCGCTTATAGATCGACTAGCTGCATATAATCAGCGTAGTGGAATGGTAACAACGTTAAAGTTAATATTAAACATAATATATAAATTGTTTTATCTATATTAACAGACAAGTGGAACTGACATCGAATCTTTAATACCAGGCGAAGTAGAACTATTTGAAGTATTCAGCGTGCAAGTTGCTAATATTGTTCAGGTATTAATTTTTATTTATTATATAATTCCCAATTTTATGTTTTGTTATTGTTGTGATAACTCATGTTGGAATGAGGCCCATAGATCCACCTATTTTTGTAGTAAACTTGTATATTTTTGTAATAAAAAAATCAACTCGTTCTAGATAAGCGACTCTGTCAAATCGGGACACTGGCCTATATGATGGCATAGAGCTGATTGCAAGAACGGTCGGGTTTACGTCCCGCAGCCACTCGTCGAAGACAACCAAGCGCCGTTCAACTATCCCCAAAGGGACTTCACAAGCAGGTCCCGGCGGGTTACAACAACATGTCATAGAGATTGTATAGTGTGGCGAACGGCACTTGGTTGTCAAACACGACGAATAGCTCATAAACGTAGATCAGACCGTTCTTCGAACCATAAGTAGGACATAGACCTGGTGGCTTCTTATATTCCATTTATACTGATTAATAATAATTAACCATTAAACTGACAACAATTGCCCATCCACAATCTAACCCATAATTTAACATGTAATTCCTTTTATGTTAACAGCTTAACATATCCTAAATCAGGCTTTAATTTTTGGATCCCCCAGTCTTCAATATAATTGGCAATATTTTCAGCATTGGTTCTTTCCAGATACTTGTACTTATCAATGCGTCCGCCTCTTTCTAATATATCCAACTTTCTACCCATAATTACAGGCAATATGAAATCAAAACGTTTTCCTAGTTAACTGAGGAGGATACGATCCTTCTTTTATTTTAACCACTTATTTATATAAGCGGCACTTGGTTGTCGGAAAAAATGATCGAGACATGTTTAGGTAGTTGTAGCCCGCAAAGATCTGTTTATGTAGTTCCGTTTGGGAATCCTAAATGACACTTGGTCATCGAATTTGGCAAATGGCTGCGAAACGTAAATCCGGCCGTTCTTAGAACTGTGATTGGGACATAGACCCAGTTGTTTTTTATATTCTATTTATACTAATAATCTAATATAAATACTTACTAACTATTAGTCTAAGTTTTCAATTTCTTATGTATTCTTATTTGTTTTTTTAATTATTTTTTTTTACCTTTATTTAAATTATTTATTTAATAATAAATTATTTTTTTATTTTTTTCATTTTACATAGGCGCGCACCGATATGCCTTTGGAAGATACTATTTCACTGCAAGTATCATTATTAAGTCTTGCGCAAAAAGTGTATCCGGATCGTGTAGACTATGTTGACAAAGTACTTGGCACAACAAATCAAATACTTGAACAACTCGAAATGAATAAGTAATATATTAATTATTAAAATATTATATTTTGTAATTTATGTGTTTTTTTTTCTTCTATTTACAGTATTTCACATTTCCTTTCCGTAAATCAAGAACTTTCTCGATTAATTCGAATCTGTATTGATTTTTACAATAACATTCTAACTATTATAAAATTGAATAACTTTTGTCCATTGCTCGAGAAATTTGACTACATATCCCGCAAATCTTTGGCACTTTATCTTGTTATGAATATACTCGAATTTGAAACTTTTATACCAACAGCAGAACAAGCAGATCATGTATTAAAAATAATTGCACCACTTATTAAAGATGAAGAGAATAAAGAAACATCTAATGCCAAGACTACTACGAATGAACGTTTAGATCCTGAAGAGTTCGCAGAAGAGCAAGGTGTAGTGGCACGGTACGTTTATTTACAAATATATAAAAAGAGTTGAAACTATATTCAATTATTTATGCTTTTAGATTTATACATCTTATGAAATCAGATGAGCCTGACACACAGTATAAAATATTACAAGCCGCAAGAAAACACTTAGGTAGCGGTGGACCACAAAGAATTAAACACGTTTTACCGCCACTTATATTTGCTGCTTATCAATTAGCATTTAAATATAAAGCAATCGCAGAACAGGATGAAAATTGGGATAAGAAGTGTCAGAAAATATTACAGTACTGTCACAGTACAATCGCTGTAATAGCGAAAGCAGATTTACCTGAATTAGCGCTGCGTCTTTATTTACAAGGCGCATTGGTTATTGGAGAAATTGCCTACACAAATCATGAAACAGTTGCGTACGATTTTATGACGCAAGCATTTTCTCTTTATGAAGATGAAATTTCAGATTCTAAAGCACAATTAGCTGCAATTACATTAATTATGTCAACATTTGAGCAAATGTCTTGTTTTGGTGAAGAAAATGCTGAACCTTTACGTACTAATTGTGCGTTAGCAGCTGCGAAATTACTCAAGAAACCAGATCAATGTAGAGGTGTCGTTGCGTGTGCAGCACTTTTCTGGAGTGGAAAGTATGTTATAATTACAAATAGTATTAAAAACTATATAACTATATATTAATGTATATAACAGAGATTTTTAGTTAGCAAATTAACCTATAAGTTAGCTAGGTCTAAACACACTTCAGTGTTACCTACTTTGTTTATAGAGTTATCAGGTTGGTTTAATTTCATACACCATGTTATACTAACATGATACCATACTGGATCTATTATTAATTGGTCTATAGATTAAAAGTAGAAATACTACTGACTTTTTTTCCAAAACTTATGACCACTGAATATATAAAGAAATCATGCTGTGTAATCCTTAGCAGGTAAATAGACATTGCCGTGTGTTACGTTCGGTGAAGTGGAAGAAGAAACAAAACCTCCTCAATTAGTTAAGCAAGCCGTAGTGGGGAAAACAATGTTTGCGGCTGGTTCTAACGTAGCCGAAAACATTGATAGATATGAATGTCTAGCTAATGCACGAAATATCGTTATTAGACATTATTCTAGGGAACAAACATTTTGGCAACTGCAACTGTTTTATTCGCAATATGCGTTTTAGCTATTAAATGGGGAAATCTTGCCTTTCTGTGTTCTTTGTAAACTAACTACTGCGGTCCTCTTGCTTCCACGTCAGATTAAAGCGAAAGCAAGATATTTAAGCAAATATTTAACCAATTAATAATAAGTGAAGACCCCTGATATATATACTTCTCAGTTGTAATATAGAGCTTATTTTTAAATCAAGTATTTTTATTTGTAAAATTTTTAGTATATAATTAAAATTTTTCCTTAGACAAAATGGCGAAGAAATGCGCGATGAGAAACGTACGCTAGACTGTCTGAAAAAAGGTGCACGTATTGCGTCTCAATGTCTAGACACAGGTGTACAAGTCCAATTGTATGTTGAACTTCTAAATCATTATCTCTTCTATTTTGAACGTGGAAACAGTCTGATCACAGTGGCAATGCTTAATCAGGTAAGTTTCATATATAATCTATAGTGATAGACAGTCTCTAAATGTAAATTGTTTTCATTCAGCTCATCGCTAAAGTTAACGAAGAACTGCCTAATTTAGAACCTAGCGAAGAAACAAAACAAATCGAAATGCATTATAAAAACACATTGGCGCATATAAGAAGTCGCATAGAATCAAATGATGCCGGTTTAGAAGTTTCCTTCGCAGGCATTTCGATTAATTAGTATACTTACTGAATAATTTTGTTTTTTTACTTAAAGAAATTATTTGCTACTAATTCAAGGAGCTTAATTTGAAATTTATATGTAATTCCGCAAATTTGCTACACAGTGGTTGCATGAGTGTTTGAGATATTAAACAGCAATATTTGTTTCGAATGTATCTTTTTGTTGTGTTTGCGTTAATACGTATAATGATTTGTAATTTGTTTATTAAAGATTTTAAAATTTATATATAATTTATATACTTTAAAATTGATTTTTTCTAATCCTTATTTATTCATAATTTATTCATTTTTGTGCTTTAACTTTGCTATAACTCATGCAAACATTCGGTGGTCGCTGTGCACGTTTAATCTTTTAATTAATTTAATTATAGAAAATTTGAAAATTTTTAATATATTTTATAAAAAAAAATTGTAAAAGTAAATAATTCTTTTTATTTCTTATTTAAGAAATAAGTTTATGCATAAAATACATATATGTTAATAATAGAAAGCATTCTTAAATTATGTTAAAGTTTATGTTAATGGCTAGTATTATTAAAATATTATATATTTGTATATTGGGAACATTGTTTAACAAATTCCTAGCATTCTTAAAGTAATAAACTGAGATTTTAACCAGCAACAAACAACAAATATGAATAATATTTACAAATGCTATTTGTATAACAATAATTATATTGATTATAAATATAAAAAATGACTTTAGTAAAAATATAGATATTTTGATTTATTTAGGGGGCTTCAAACATCCCGTAGTCAATTAATGTGCATAAAACTTATTGAGATTTAAAGTTTATTATTATTTTCTTTATACAAAAAGAGCAGTAATAGTAAAGAAATTTTGTATTATAAGTAAATTGACAGGTTTCATAACTCTGTTGTTATTTAACCATAATGAGGAGTTCATCGAGTTTTGGGGTGACGCAACACTCCTCTCTAAGCACCGCTTCATCGAATATGCAGTCTTGGTTTACGAGGTCTTCTGCTGGAGCATCGTTATACATTCTTATCGAAGCTGCTGTTTATTAATTTGTTTTATGATGTTAATGTTGTGATAAAGATGACCAAAGTTCTTATGAAGAACTTAGTTCTTGAACACTCTCACAACTGTTTCAGTCTGTGTTGGCGTGCGTTGTTTTGCGCTATTCAGAACTACAGATGGGATGAGCGACTAAATGAGCGAAAGTTGTCTTTGTGGAGAGAGAGCTTAACATCACGACTGCCTACTCAGCCTATAGTAGTTCCTATTGCAATGGTTATTCTTCGTCCGATCTCCAGGCTAACATACATTCCATCCTACAAAATTTGTCTTCATTTATAATCATAAGACATTACCTATACATCGTTACAGGTTATAAAAGCAACAACATTATAATCATTAGAGGATACTATGTTGCACTACGAGTTACAAGATGTGTTGGTACTCTCTTCATAGAGAGAATATGCTAAACGAACTAGGAAAACTTATAGTTTCTAATGAATCTAACAATATTTCATGGTTTAAGATTCCAGAACCTATTCGTTTTAATGAAATTCGAATGCAGGTCATAAATTCCTTTCCTTTCCTGAATTTTATAAAATCTGCAGATATCGGTATCCTTTAGCCCTATTATTAAATAAGAATTCGTATCATCTGTGCGCTCATTTGCTACTATATTAAAATGCCCGAAAAACTAAAGTAGAGTTATCTTGAATCTTTTACTTAGTGCGTAAATAAAATCTCTAATTCTTGTGGATGAAATAGAGACCGTTAATAAAGCTTTAGTAGCTACCTGACTGTCAATAAGAATATAGAATTCCTTTCCTTGATAAATATTCCGGCTCCAATATCTTTGTCTATCTTAGACCCGTTGGTGTAGATCGCTATCTTTCTAAGCGTTGTAAGCAGCCCTGCCTCCCATTTTCCTCTGGTGGCAAAGTTATTTTCGAATGTTAGCAATGCCAAGTAATCTTATTTACTATTCCCAGCGAACGGATAGATTGAACGCAATCAAGCTCCAACAATTTAAAATTTCAAGCCTTTATGCGCTACTTGTTTCATATGAAAACTAATATGTAACATTGTTCAGTGTTTCAGCAAACAATGATCTGGATCTTCTTTGCTAAAACGATATGATTCACATGTGAAAGTTATTGACAACGCTTATCGCTGCGGTGATAGGATCACGCCTTGGAAACAACATTAAAAGATCAATGGACTTGAGCACGACCAGTATAATGTATTGGAGTGAATTAAAGGCTGTTTTATATTAGATGAAATTAGAGCCATGAAATTACAAGCAGTTTGTAATGTTTCGCAGAGCAGAAATCTAGCAGTTGTCCGAGACGGAACAATGGCGGTACATTCCTACTAAATACCTTGCTGACCGGCTCTGAAGGAGATGGATAAAACAGGTGCTTCCAACAATGGCAAGACAGACAAAACGGTTTAATAAAGTAAAACCAACTGATGAAGACGATATTGTTATTATTGTTGGGTCAAATCCTCCGCTCTATAGATGGCCGAAAGGAATCGTAATTACTTCCATGAAAGCAGGGACGGGCAGACCAGGAGCACCATAGTGAAGACTGCTCGCGGGCAATATCATAGACCTGTAGCAAAATTAGCCGTATTGGATGTACAAAAAAGCGGCAGTTTGAATTAAGTCATATTCTTTTTAAAGAGATACTGTGGGGAGATTGTTAAAACTCAGGTCCATGAAAATATTTATAAACTTTCTTTGGTCGTAGCAACTGTGCTGTTTATTATTGTCAAATGCAACCCAGCGCATATATGAATTGTCAATTCATATGTCAGCTGGTTGTCATTTATGTCATTTTGTTGTCATTTTCCTTTCGTTTAAAATCTTGTTATTGTTATTGTTTTGCGCGTAAAATGGAGCGGATCATCGTTTGCTGAAACACGGCTATTATTATTGTTAGTGAAGTCCTAATGACTTCGTGTTTTTTACATATAATGTTAAAATGACTGATACAGAATTGGGAGAATTTGCTATATTGAATAGTGGTGACCAAGATAATATAATTGACGGTATGTTTTTTAATCTAATTCAATTGTATAAAGAAAGACAAAATCGGAAGCGTAAAAGACGTTGGCGTACACGTCCTATTAATATGGATTGGTCAAAAACTGGGTACCATCAACAAACGTTTTTAAAAATGAAAGAAATGGATGAAGAGAAACTTTTCTGTCACACACGCATGAGTAGAGAAATTTATGGCGAATTGTTAAAGTTAACGGCAGTATCTTTGACAAAATACAAAGAGCAAATACATGCTGAGGAACGCTTATCAATCACACTTTTGTAAGTAGTTTGTCTTACTTCATTTCTAGCTATAATAATATCATATATATTTTTTTCTTAAAGATACTTAGCTAATGGAAGTTCCATTGCCGACTTAGCGCAAAGCCACAAACTTGGAAAAACTACTGCTAGAAATATTATACTAGAAACATGTGAAGCGTTATGGGAGATATTATCTCCCATATATTTAAGTGAACCAACAGAGGATGAGTTTAAAGGCATTAGCAATGATTTTTTGAAAATGTGGGATATGCCAAATTGTGTTGGTGCTCTCAGTGGCAAGCACATTAACATTAGTTATCCTTCGAAACAAAAAAGTCAAATTTTAGTGTTGATTGCAGCTTGTGACGCTAAATACACTTTTACGACTGTAGGCGTCGAAGCATATCAGAATCAAACTAAAGGTAGTTAAATTTCATTTAACAGATTTTTTTAAAAAAAAGTTAATATCCGCTTAATTACAGGTGTATTCCACGCTACTAAATTTGGGAAAGACTTAGCTGAAAAAACATTGCCTTTACCGCCTAACGTACCTTTACCATTAACATCAGAGCCGTTTCCTCATTATTTTGTTGGAGATTGTGCATTTCCGCTTAAAGAAAATTTAATGAAGCCTTATCCAGATGTACAAGAGTGTGCCAATAGAACACAGAATGTGTTTAATTACAGACTATCAAGGGCGAGTCGTGTGATAGAAAATGCATTCGGTATTTTAATGACGCGGTGGAGAGTACTGAAGACATCGTTGGAGTTTAGTCCGGAAAATGCTAAAAAAATAATTTTGGCATGTTTATTACTGCACAATTTTATAATATCCAATGATACAAATCAATTGTATTGTCCAGCGAATTACGTAGATGCGGAAGAGGAATATTTTGTGGTAAGAGGAGATTGGCGGACTGAGTTAGAAACTGTTGGAGGCCCGCTGTCTTCAGCAACATCTGCCATAAGTAGTGAGGCAGATAGTGCAAATGATACAAGAGAGTATCTGGCAAATTACTTCGTTAATGCAGGTGCCGTTCCATTTCAAAACCATGTAAAATAATTAAAGCCACTTTAATTTATAACAAATAAAAAGTTTTAAATAGATTAAATATCTGTTAAGTCTGAGCATTTATCTGTTTAATAATTTTTTAATTATTAATATAAATAAAAGAAATACATATAAAAACCAAATTAAATTTAAGTATCAAAAAAACTAGTCTTATAAAAACAAGTATTTATAATTACCTCGTATATAAATTAAAATGATTACATTATTCTATTTTTTCATTTATATCAACATTAATGCATTGCTGCATTAAACTGGTTTACCCCGATTTTCTTAATATTTTTATTTTTGTATTTATTAATATATAAAGATATATATAAAAAATAAAAAAAAATCAAATTCAATATATAATCCTTAATATTTATTTTTTTTTTTTGTATTTTTAATATATAAAAAATAAACCTAATATAAATTTAAACTAAAGATGTAAAAACTATAGTGCATATTATGGGTTGTCTATCGCTGATAGACAATAGAAAAGTTTCTATCACTGATAGATAGAAAAAACCGAATATATCCTTTTAATATCTAGAAAATGTTTGTATTTCAAGTTAAAATTATATATATTTTTTTTCTAATAGATAATAATAAATTCAAAATAAAACGAAATATTATAAGTTAATAAAATATATACATTTAAAACTAAAATAAAAAACATCGAAATTGAATAAAAAAATATTTTTATTATCTAAGTATTTATATTTTAAATTAAAATTAATTATTTTTTATATCTCTACTATACAAAAAAAATAAAATAAAATATATTTTTAATATCTGACAAAATATTTGCAGTAAAAACTATTTATTTTTTTATATTAAAGAAAATATTTGCATTTAAAATTAAATATTTTTTATACCTTTCGTATATAAAAAATAATAAAATAAAAATTAAACAAAATATTTGTATTTAAATTTAATGAAGTTTTTTTTTAACTTCTCGATAAAAAAATAATGAAATACAAATTATTACTAAATATATAAAAAAAAATTATTCTTATTATTTAACAAAATATGTGCAGTTGATATTAAAATAAATATTATTTTTTTAGTTTATCCCTAAATAATAAAAAAATACAAAAAATAAAAAGATAAAGAAAAAACAAAAAAAAAATGCTAAAAAGAATAAAATATAAAATTCGTATTATCTACCAAAATGTTGGCATTTAAAATTTAAATTAATTATTTTTCCGTTCCTTCTTTTTAACCTCCATAATAATATTAAGACATTTATGCATTGCCTTTGTTTGCGCTGGTTTGCTTAGGCTGCGAATGGTGGTCATCATTAACCTTCCGAATGAATCCACTTCATCGTTTTGGGTTGCTGCCCTCATTCGAAAGTCGCAGTAAGTGTTATATTTTGTTACCGCAGCCAATATTACAGTGTCGATCTCATCATCATCATCTTGGCTTTTAAGACGTTTTCTTGAATTCAAAATTTTTTTAGAAGGTGATGGTGTTGGAGATAGTGTTGATGATTGTGATGGTGTTGGAGATAGTGGTGGTGATGGTGATGGTGATAGTGATAGTGACTTTACTGATGACTGTAAAGGTGTTGGTGACGATGGTAATGATGATTGTAAAGATGTTGGTGAAGGTGATTGTAAAGCTGTTGGTGAAGGAGATTGTAAAGGTGTTACTGAAGGTGACTGCGGCTGTTCAGGAAGTAACAGTGGATCAATTGGTGAAATGCTTTTCCTTACGCAGGCACGCTGTCTCATTCTGTTTTAAAAATCATTATTAAAAGCAATTAATATAATAACAATAAATTATATTTACGGCCGTTCATGTATATGATCTGTTAGGAATAACAGACTATTGTAAAGGGGCCATATCACTTTTTTCTGGCTACTTTCACAATTTTCTTTAGATAGTCCATTCTCTCGTATAAACCTTTGTCTCAAATACTGCCAACGTTTAGAAATAGATTTTTCTATAACAAATAAATTTTAATAAATTAATAGTTTATTTAATAAAATTTTTGTAAAAATGAGGTGATACTTACCATTCATTTTTAACTCTTGTCCAATATTTTTCCATACTATAGACTTTTTTTCGCAGTCATTGTATTCTTTGTGGTTTTGGTTGTACAGTATGGGATGCTGACGTACTATTTGAATAATACTGTTATCTTCCATTGTGCATTCGTCAAGCTGAAGTTTAATTTAAAAAGTAAAATAAACTTTGCAGTAATTTTTAAAATAAATTTACGTTATATTTTTATATACAAAAAATATGTATACTTATCAAATAAATATATATATATATGTATCTATACTAAATATATAGGGTATATATAAATAACACTATTTAACTTACTATATATATCTACTTAAACGTTTTATTATTAATAAAATGTTTGAGTTTCAACAAATCAAAAATGAAAAAATATAAGTTTTTAGCGCAATTTTTATGTCAGCTGTTGTGATTAGTTGTGACATTAATACCATGCTTACACTTAAGTTTATGCTACATATACAGCAATTTTTGGAAAATTAGGTTAAAATACATACTTTTTAGGACCATATCATACATGGATGCATGGGCACTTCTTTATTTGTATTGTGGCATGTTAATGTTATGTATGTTAATATAATTTTTCAATTTTTTCTGTGTCTCATCACATTACCTATTTTGATATAAAATCCATATAAAAATATATTAAATAGGATACATAAGTTTAACTGTTAACCTGATCTTAAAACGAATAATAAGCCATATTATAATAGATAGACACGATAGTTTTGTTTGTAATTTTAGCTGTCAAAAATTTTCATTTTTCATTGAAATCAACACTTGACAGCTGAAATTACAAACATGACAGCTAAAACTACAACAAAACTCTCGTGTGAATTCAGCATAACGCTCTTTACACAACATTTAGTTTTCGAGAAGATTGTCATAGAACAAATACATGGAAGTAATTAAATTTATTCATCAGCTGTTTCTTATTACTATGAGGCGTAGAACAAAATTTAATTGAATTTTAAGTGTTTAAATAAGTAAAGCATGATATAGACGATGAAATTTGTTTGCAAACCAAATTTGCAAACCGAATATGCGCTTTGCTATACACTTTGAAACAAGGTTGGCAAACTTCATTTTTATTTATTTTCTACAGCGTTCATATCAACAGCGGAGTAAGTACAGAGTGCAAAACAATAATTGAAACTGAAGAAATTGAGGTGATGATCATAGCAACCTGTTATTTATTTCATTTTTTAAACTAAAATTATTTTTGTTTCAATTTTTTAATATGTTACATTTTAAAATTTTTATTCATATAATAATTGTTTAAATATTAAAGCTTACTATAAAAATGTTTTTAGCACAAAATAATTTTTAAAATATATAAACTTCTTCAATAATTGTCTAATGTCTAGCAATTTTTTAATTATTTTTCATTTATTTTTCTTTTTACCAAGAATTAATAATTTTTTTCTGTAATCTTTGCTAGTCCGACGCTCACCAAAATTCTTAAATTATGAGAAGTTTGCAAACTTCGATATACACAAGTAAACATGTTTGCAAACTTAACAAATAATTGAAAAATTTTAATTTCACTGCAAACTAGTTTGCAAACCAAATTTTGGTTTGCAAACTTGAGTATAGACGATGCAATTTGATAGCCAACAAACCTTGTTTGCAAACAAATTTCATCGTCTATATCATGCTTAATATAAATAGAAATCTTGATAGAAGAAGAAACTAAATAAAAAACAAGTTTTATTGTAATTTTTTTAATTTTGATTAATAAATTCAATTTTTTCTTGATATATTTTTATAAACAACAAAGAAAACAAAAATAAAATTAACTGCTTTGGCGTTGTATTTTTCAATTTCACGGTGAAAGATAACTCTTTGACGTGTGTTTATTGAATTCTTTGACGTTTGTCTATTGAATTCTTTGATGTTTGACATTTAATTATTTTACCGAACACCGAATTAGGGGCATATTTTGATTGAATCATAATATACCCCTTGCCGAGCAATGACTGAATACTCGTTGTATAAAATCTTACAACATAACCGAGTTACCGATCATATCTGAGTATACATAATAAATGAATAATAGTTAATATTAATAATAATAATTAACTTATAATTTAATCAAATATTCATGCATTTAATTTTATATTTTCCTTGGACTGTGCGCATTACTACAACTGAATGTATATAAACACATATACAAAAATCTGATTTATTTATTAATAGCTACTTAATTCGCAAAAAATTAAAATATTTTGATATTTTGTCAAGCATTTTAAACACACTACCAGTGCAAGAATAGACACTCTGCATAACATGGTCGTAAGACATGCAAAATACTTGATCATGCGAATTGACCGTGTGTATTGCTGTTATACATTCTTCTATTATTCTTTGCAAAATACATTTCTTTTAAAAGTCATAGTGTCATTGCATTGCGAATAACAAAATTGTCATAAGTCAATACTTTTCCAACACTAGCAAAATTGTTTTCATTTTTTAGTCAACAAAGAATATTGTATAAATAATTAAAGTATAAATATAATTAATCTTTATCAAAATATGTTAAGTTCAATGGTAAAAGAGCATCATGCTAGACAAGCTAAACGTAAGCAGGAGCAAGGTTTGTTAAAAATTTCAATATAAATAAAGTATAAAAATTGAAATGGTTTACTTTCTAGAAGTACGACGTAAAGAAGCAATTGAAGCATCTAATGAGGTAACGCAAGCATTAGTAGATCATCTTAATGTCGGGTAAAAATTTATTTATGTTATTATGTAGTAAATACTAATACTTTAAAATAAAACAGCGTTGCTCAGGCATATTTAAATCAAAAAAGACTGGATGCTGAAGCGAAACAATTGCATGTCGGTGCCACCAATTTTGCTAAACAAACACAACAATGGTTGAATTTAATTGACAATTTCAGTAGTGCTTTAAAAGTAAGATCATATTTTTACTTTAATCAATATCAATTAAATTTTTTTTTCTACAATTAACTTAACAGGAACTTGGTGATGTTGAAAATTGGGCACGTAGCATTGAGGATGATATGAAAATTGTTCAGGGCACCTTGGAAATAGCATATAAAACTTCAAGGCAAATACAAAACCCAAAAAGTAGCTGAGCTCTTTATTCTCCTGATTTACATGATATGTAATTAACATATAACTATAAGATTCCAAATATATCTGATCTTCAGTACGTTGTGGTAATAATAAATTTTAAGACAGTTAAACTACACTTAATTATATTTATTAGAATTGATACGCTATACCTATGCTAAAGATAATTTTATATTATATAAAGTACCAGTTTTGTATATTTAATCAACTAATTTTAAACACTATCTATTGGAAATAACTCAATAAAAATATGGAAACGTACTAATTCATAGAAATCATGTTAAACTTTATAAATTTTATTTATAATTATAATTTATAAAATATACTTTCATAAGTTTTAATTCGAGATTGTAT